ATGACCTGAGCTGAAGTCTGATACTTAACCAACTGAGCCACCCACGAGTCCTACTAAAGAAATTTCTACAAACTTTCAACAATGAAAGGTCCTCTGCCAGATGATTCATTTAATGAGAAACAGATGAAACAATGAGAACGTGCTTCCAATCTCCTCCAACATTTCCAAGAAGTGAAGATAAATTATCAAAACACTCTCTGTGACACGACAATCAAATAATCAACCTGGTTATCAAAGCCAAAGGAAGACACTACAAGTACACAAGATTACAAAGTACTACCTGTGAGGAATATTCAATACAAAGTCCACAATAAATTAAAGCAAAATGAATCAAAAACACACTTCAATATTTTACAACATAATCAAGTGGGAATTCTTCCTGTAACTCAAGGGTGTTTCAACTTACAGAAATCAAGAAATTTAAGACTGCACATTAACCAAGAGAAGATCAAACAGGACATGATGCTCTTAATTGTCGCAGAACAAGAGTGTGTGAGCATATTGGAAAGCGTTTCATGATTTACAACACTCAATAGTAGGAACAGAAGGAAACTACCTCAACCTAATAAAGAATACAAACGTACAAAAGTTGAAATCTAACATATTCAAAGATACAAGACTGAAAGTTTCTCCTGTGTGATCATAAACAAGGTAAGGAAGCAACTTCACCACTTCCGTTCGACAAAGTACTGGAATATTCTAGTCAGAACAGTTAGGCAAGAAAACATACAAAAAAGGAATCCGATATAAAAAGTAAAACTATCTGTTCACAGATGACATGATCTAAGAAAATCCTCAAGAATCCTTATTTCTTTTTTCTGTTATTTTATTTTTTTGGTCATTCCTTGTATTGTTTATTTCTGCTAATTTTTCCCTGCTAGGAAACCCATTTTCAAACTTTTTTATGCTATAAATGCTTATGTTAAGAAAAATTTCAGCAGCACCTGGGTTCAGTCAGTTAAGCATCCAACGTCAGCTCAGGGCATGATCTCACAGTTCATGAGTTCGAGTCCCGCTCCATGCTGACAGCTGGGAGCCTGAAGCCTGCTTCAGATTCTGTCTGAGTCTCCCTCTCTCTCAATCTATCCCTCCCCAGCTTGCGTGCTCTCTCTCAAAAATGAACAAACATTAAAATAAAAAAAAAGAAAAATTTCAGATAAACAACTTAACACTACACTACAAGGAAGTAGGAAAAGAACAGAGCTGAGGAAGGAAATGACAAAGAAAAATTAAAAATAAATAGAGATCAGAATAAGCAAAAACATAAGACTGAAAGTAACACAATTTCCATCAAAATCCCAACGCCATTTTTGGCAGGAAGATCAAAGTCTGTCCTAACATTTATATGGATTTTACAGAATGACACATACACAGAACAATCCTGAAAATACATCGAGATCATGTTGCTGGCAGCACACTTCCTGATTGAAAGCAACTACAAATCC